AAAACACATTTTTTTTTCCTAGGAAGCAAAAATAAATTTATTCAAAGTACTTGCCCTCGCTAACTATACATTTTTCCCATCTTTCGGGCAATTTGTGTATACCACGCCAAAAAATTCCTCATCTTTCGAGGCAAACCACTCATCAAGCCATTTTCGGACGTCTTCGTAAGAATCGAAGTGCCGCTCAGCGAGCGTGTGGCCCATCGACGAAAACAGGTGATAGTCAGAAGGTGCCAGGTCTGATGAGTAAGTGGGATAGCACTTCCCAGTTGAGTGTCTCCAAGTTTTAGACCATTATTGACGTATGCGATGGTGCGTTGTCGTGGAGGAAAATCAGCTTGTCATGTCTTTTCCGATAATGCGGACTTTTTTCATGCAAGCACAGTGCAATTTGATCAGTTCTTGGTGATAGCGATGAGCATTAACAGTTTCACCAGGTTTTAACAGCTCGTAGTAGATGACACCTTTCTGATCCTACCAAATGCATCGTCTTCCGTCCGAAGCGATTTGATCTTGAGGAAGATGTTGATGGTTGGGCGGAATCAACCTAAGATTTCCTGCGTTTAGAATTCTGAAAATAGATCCACTTTTCATCGCTTGTCACAATCTGATGCAGGAACGACTTTCTTTTTTGTCTAGCAAGCAAAATTTGGCATGTGTTTTGGCGTCGCTCCATCTGCCTATCGTTCATGCGGCATCCATTTTCCGATCTTTTGAACCTTCCCCATGGCATGTAGCCGCATGAAAATGGCTGCTTGAGAAATATTACTCGGCAAGCATTTTTTGCGATTGAGTATCGTCCAAAAGAACCTGATAATCCTCAACTTTCCTGGGTCGATTTTCACACTTCTTGTCACTCAGGTCAAAAATTGTCGTCATTGAACCGGTGAAATCAATCTCTGCATGTTGTTTCTGATAAAGCATTGTCGTCATAGGCCTCCACAAGCATTCGATGCGATTCGGCAGCCGATTTCTTCAAATTGAAACAGAAAAGCAAAGCTTCCCGCATGCTTTTTTTTTAGCAAAAAACTAGACATGATTATGAAAGAAAAAATGTATGTTGTTGTATGAAATTGCTGATGATATGCACTGGTTAATGTTGACAAATGTCAAACACATAAAAAAAAGTTTGTTGTGTGTCCAGGGTAGCTTTGTACGCTCACTAATGCCACCAATGAACAAACAGCGGATTTAAGCTTATATACTTGATATATATACACACACACACACACACACACACGCGCGCGCGCGCGCGCGCACACACATGTATATATATATATTTAGCAGAATCTATAACGATAATTACATTGTGTGTCGATAGTCGTATCGATAGTCACAGACTAAAAGTTATAAATATAATGGTTTCATTGTTAAAGGCGGAAAATTTATTATCATAGAAAAACTGTACTTGAATTCTTCATAATGTGACTAAAAATTAGATATTGAGATAAAAAGAATACATTTCGTAGAGAATAAAGAATATATTCGTGACGTTACAATTTTGAGATAACGTTAATCTTTTTTTACAAGAGCATTTTAAATATAACAAAAGAGCCATTTTTGCATTAAATTTCAATTATTTCGAAAATCTGACATACTAGTGAAATTTAACTTGCGGCATCGTTTTCAGCATCCAAAAATCTATAAGAAACACCTTATCTGATCAAAAGAAACATTTTTTTGTAAATTAATATTATCTTTATTCACAGTTTGTGAATGTAATGTCGTTCATCGATACTACGATTTTATCGAGGCGATAGTGGCGAAAATGTGATACGTAGCTCACATCAATTTATAAAATTGATGTTGGTCGCTAGGGTACGGTGACTTTTGTCTATCACGCGAAAAACCGCCATAGCTTCTCTTATCTTTCTCTCTGATCATGACTAGTGACCACTGATACTAGACAAATTGAATATTTCTGATCTATTTATGTATATAAATTGGAAATCGTTTTGGGAAATTTGGAAAAAGCATTTAAACATTTGGGAAATATTTTTTTGGGAAGTATTTTTCTTGTAATTAACAAATTGTATCATGCATCAAGTTAGCAGACAGCGATTTTATTTAATGTATTTTATGAATGGGATCGATTAAAAATCATTTGGAGAAGGTGTCTTCATTATTATTTTTTCATTTGAGAAAAGAGCATTATTTGGTAATTCAATAGATTTCTTTACAGCACGAAGTCGATTCTAAGTCGACTCTGAGTCGACTATAGCTTCTAGACATCTGAAAAACGAACATCCATAAGTTGACTTTGAACGACTTGAAGACGTCTCTAAGTCATATATGTCCCACTTTAAAGACAACAATAAGTCGATTTTAAGTCAATCATCATAGACATTCTAGGATGTAGCGCGCATGCGCATCTTGCAATGGCGAAAATATTTAAATTGGGAAAATTTATCTTTAGATTATGTTTTTCTTGGCATTTTCCGTTGGGACTGCACTCAGTATTTCCATAAGAACGTGTTCAAATTTGCACTGCCTCTGTGCAAATATATATAATATATAATTTTAACAGTATATACTCTTACAGAAACACTATTGTGTAGTCCCAAGGAAAAATAATGGTACATTAGACTATTATTTATAAAAAATCAGTAAATTATTACTCTAAAAAATATATAGATATTTATTATTTGTATTATTGTAGCATGTTACATTTACATATTTTATATTTTTTATATTTATTAAAAAATGATTTTAATATAGTAATATTTTATTATATTTTATATGTTTATTTTAATACTGTTTATTTTGTTTTGTAACGCTTCTTATTCTGTCACCTGAGCGATAGAATCATTCTTTGATGGCTTCTTCTAATTCGGCAGACGTCGAACCTGGTAACCGTTTCATTATCGAGTCTGAAATATATACAATTAAAATAATTGTATTAATAAAAATAAAAATATAAAATAATATTTATAAACATAAATTTTATAAATAAACCAATTAAACATAAGGCAATAGGTTTGTTCTGATTGATTACACTGTTCCATTTTTGCACCAATGCAAATTTTTTTTTAAATAATCAATCAATGAGAACTTGCACGTTTCAAACAAGTGCAAAAGTATGGGTAGAGCACTATATATAGGTATTCGCATCCGCCATTTTTAGTCCTTTCTTCACTCTTTGTTCTCTCTTCAACCTTCAATCTTTTCTCTCTTCAATCTTCTCAGCTCAGCGGCGGAGTGAAGAGAGAGCAAGGAATTGAGAAAAGGAACAAGACTGCATAGACAACTCTGCATATTATAGCCTTAGTATGGGCAACCAAGCTATATGTTCCAAAATTATCTATTAGCACCGACGAGGTTTTAAGACATCTAGAATGTATTAGTGGACATTTATTTGATATCAGAAACAGTAAATCTTACAATCTAATTTTGAATATAATTTTTGTATTTATAATTCACACTTGTTAAAATTATTTGTAGGGGTCTTTATATTTCGACATGTATTATATATATTTAGCTCATCGATATTTTTAAATAACATTTATGATGAATTTCGTGAACGCCATGAAGATTGTATGGAAAAGGCTATGTTTCCAATCTCACAAAATGTTTTAAAAAAATGTTTTAACCTTGTTGTTATGGGAAAGTAGATATAAGATGGAATAAATGATTATTAATTTAAATATGGATATGGATTTAAAGCTTACATCACTCTTCTGACTTGTCCATGATATTTGAGTGACTTCATTAGAGATAATTTATAATTTGATAAAGTATTTCTAATAAACTGCTTACCGTCAATCGTCGAATCTCCGATTCGACGTATGTTCCTGTAATATAGTTACAAAAAATATACACAAATAGAATATTAGGAATGGAAGAAATGTATATACGACAACGAAAATGTTCAATCGATTATTAAATTAATTTAGTACCGACCATACATCTTTTTATGTAGCAATTTTGCCACTTAATTTGCATTATGTCATACTTTAATATTATATCAAATCGTTTTCAATAATGCTCAATATAAAATTACTAAATTTAATACATATAAATAAAAAAGTCCTTCATGATACATGAGAAATTAAACATGACGAAATTCAAAAGTTATAAGATGGCGAGTAAATTTCTGAGAAAACACAATTTTCCTAACGGATAATACAAGCATTTAAAGTAATATTTAATAAATAAATGATAAATTTAATAAATAAATTTAATAAATATGAATATACTTACAAATTATTTTCTCATGTTGTATTCATTTCCAATTTTTCGCACTGCAAGAACTGTTTCAGCGTCATTAGAGGCAATGGAAATAACAGATCTTGTGCTACAACCTCACTTCATGCATTTCCCTCTTTTAGTAGAGCTTCAATAGCATACATTTGTCTGGACAATCTTTTCAGGACAATCTTGGACAGTTCCTTACGGATCTCTGCATTTGTCTGTAATGATATGAAGAAATATACATAAAAACTGAATTAACATTAATAACTATTAATATTTTAATAAAGTCAAATCTGTCTATTATCACAATAACCATTACCAGCATTGGCTATTTGCCAAAATTTTATTGTTTTTTTATTATTTATTATAGGAACAGGAGAGTGAGTTTGTGATGTGCATTTACTTAAAATAATTTTTATGTATTTTTATTTAAAAATACAAATAAAATACAAATAAATATAACATAAAAATATAATATTAAGAAAGAGATATTAAAGAGACGAATTATTGTATTAACAAATCAGTAATGTTCCTCTGTAAGAAATTATTTGCTTATCACAGCAATTATTATGATTTCTCGTTGAGGGTTCATTTTCTATACCGTCGAATCAGGTAAGTCTGAAAATCAAAAATATTTTATTAATATTTTATAAATATGTATTTTATTAATATTTTATTAATATGTAGTATTAACAAAATATTTAATTTTCATATGTCTGTGAGATCAATTGTTAACAAATTCGAATCGAGATATTTCGCAATAAAGAGCGTATGACTTTAATGTTTCTTTGTTTATTATTGTTTATATTATTGTAGCTTAATGTATAAATAGTAATCTTTTCCTTTTTCTAGTATTATAGAACAAAATGTTTATTACTAATAAATTAGTATGTTGTGAAATCGAATCTTAAAGTTATAGAAGTTAATATAGTTTTATTGGTTTTTCTTTTGAAAGCATAAATCAACATAGATGTGTTCACCGCTTATTAGTTCATTTAGAACAGACTTGATCCAATGAACCTCAATCAATTTGTGGTCTAATTTGTGTTCTCAAAAGAGAAATATTCTCCTTAAAAGAAGGATTTGTCTCAGCTTCTTTAAGTATATAAATCTAATAAGTATAAACTTGGACAAACTTCTAGCAAGTTTTAATAAATATAAATTTTAATAAATATAAGCATTGGGAAATGCTATTGAAAGTCCTTATTGTAATTTACTTACTTCTGTTCCTACTTAGCAATATCACAGAAACAGCAGTACACAAATTGTAATTGTAAATTTTAAAGATATAGGTAATAGATTCATTTTTTTCCTAATAAGTTTTTGATATTGTATATATACATTGATATATAAACTGTGGGATTGTGAACACAGGACTTAACCAACCTTGTATATCAGACAAGTGATCATCATGTCGCTCCTGATGTTGATCCATTGGCTTGACTTTCTCAGGGCTGATAGATGAGATGTCGAGAATTTTTATCATAGATTTTTGTTGCCTTTCAACAGAAATTTAAATAAAGTTACAAATAGGAGATACATATATGGCACTGTTAATGATATGAGATAATTATTTTTCATACTTTTCGTATCATTGATACTTTTGAAATAGAGTTTACTGCAATAAACAAAAGTATACACGATTAATCATGAAAAATTTTAAAATATTATGAAATAATTAGCTTCTAAACTTACAAGGCTGTTGACAGTCTGACGAAAATGCACGCTTACTATTTAATTGCGATTGTGCCTTGGTTGTTCCAATTATAATAAAATAAAGTTTGTCGATTTCGTTGACGTTTCAACAACTCAGAAAATTGTTTGGGCATTTTCGGGTTTTCTAGTTATTTAATGAATAATTAACTTACACAATCCGACTATGACTACATGTATATACGCGTTATTCCAATTTTAAAATGTCTTTAATTAATAATTAAATAAATAATATTTTACACAAAAATACATTGCCATTGTTGCACTGATGTTCCCAAATCTTTAATAATATTAATAAATCTTTTATAATATTAATTCTATTCTTTAATTATTAACAAATTCCCGGCCGCTATTTCTGCAATCGCCATTTATTAACTGTTATATGCTGCATCGTGCGCAATCATGAGCGCGTACACTGCAACGACATCTCACGAATATTTTGTGCAGGCTTTTTGACAAGTCGACTTAAATTGACTATTTTAAAAAATAGATTATATATTATTCTTATAGGCAGTAATCCGATTCATGTTCACAACGTTCATGAACAGCTTCGTCCTAGTTTAATTATATTGTAATATAGTTAAACAACAAAGACAAAATGATTCCAATTTTGTAAGCGGAAATCGCATTAGATGTCCTAAAGTCGACATTGGAAGGACGTCTGTGCAAAGTCAACTTACAGTCGACATATCGATGTTTGTGCTGTTAGGGTTTACACATTATGAAAACGGACAAAATTCGGATATAGTATGAGTATAGTAGATGTAGTACAATGAATATAGTAAACCTAAAATCGTCAAAAATTTACTAATTAAGTCTGGATCTAATTATGCATAATAAGAAATTATGTGTAGTAAGAAATCAACTTAATCATAAACTTAACTATATTCGACTAATTTTCTTCACTTTCAATTGTGATTGGTTAATTTTTATATATATA